TTGCATGGAGAGGACTGAAGACTTAGACAAGGAAGTAAAATACATAAAAGATCACTCAAGCAAGAACACTTACATTGAACCAAGATTTATCTGTTTTAGAAGTTAACAATGCCTTAACTGATAAATATTCCTTCCTAAATCCTCCCAGTCCCATTTATTTTCAGTACCACACAAACATGGGCACCAGATAAATGCTCTTGGAGGATAATTGTCAATAATGACAACAGAAGTCAAATGTACATTATCTAGAAAGGATGTGTTGTACACTATGAATATTACTGATGAAATGACTTGGAAAATCCAAGTCAAGTAATACTCACATTTAAGATCATTATTATAAAAATAGGTTGTATAGTATGTAATAATATATTGTTCATACAAATAAATGAGAATTATAAATCATTTTAAAATTTAGGAGACACTATAACATAAGCAAAAAAATAATGGTGGTTTTGATGAATAATTTGAAGATTTAAAATATTTTTCAATAAAGTTTTATACTGTTAAAATATTGACAAATGATTATAAGAGCATTAGTGACCTAAGGAGGGGAGAAAATTATAATACCTAATTTTTATAAGCCATAAATTCAAGAACAAGTAAATAAATCAAGACTTCTTTCTTTGTATCACATTTCTTGTGCTTCATATCAAATTATAAGTAATGATTAAACAAATAAATTAGTTGAATGTTTCTCCAGCGATGAATTGCCATCATCTAACACAGTTGCTAATCAACATTAAGTTTTGAAAGAATAAAAGAACTTTGTAATACCGTCATCACTGCTATTATAGGCTACTTCTGATGTTGGCATATGCCCGGTTAATAATTTTCTTGTCAAGAACTTTCAGGGTATTTTGGTTCAGATGCTGAAACAAGTCACGATAACCCAGGGAACATTTCAGTTTCAGTGTTCAAGGCTTCATTCCCTGAGACTGATTCACTAGGTCTGAAGCGAGATTTGAACATCATAGTTTAAAAATAATTTTATTTTTAATATTATTGACAAATAACAATTATATGTATTTATAGGGTACGATGTGACGTTTTAATACATGTATATGTTATGACCTGCTCAAATCGGCTAATTAGCAAATTAATCACCTCTAATATTCATCATTTCTTTGTGGTGAGGGATATACATTATTAACCATAGTCACCTTCCTGTACGAACCATAACTTGGTTCCTCCTAATTTAACTTTGTGCTGCATGCTGACCCATGTCTCTCTTTGGCACTCCCCACGCTCAGGTGCACCTCCGGTAACACTTCCTTACTTTCTTTTTCCTATTACATCTTTTGTTTAGCATGTAATAGGCAAAGAGAATTAAGGAGGTATTGGTGAGCGATTAAGCACATTTAGGAGGTTTCTAGAGCTGTGCTGTCCAATACAGTAGCCACTACTCCTATGAGCCTATTTTAATTTAAATAAAAATTTTAAATTCAGTTATTTAGTTGGACTAGTCATATTTCAAGTGTTTAATAGCCTCTTGGGGCTAGTGGCTACCAAACTGGACAGTACAGATACGGAATGGAACATTTCCATCAATGCCGAAAGTTCCATTGTGCAGTTCTGGTCTACAGTCCTATAGACCTGGGTTCAACTCTCACTCTGTCACTCACTATGTATAATTTTGGACAAGTTATTTAACTTCTCTAAGGCTTTCTTCAACAGTAAAAAAGAAATAAGTAATACATAGTACTGTCTTTTAGGGGATCCCTCAAGGGAAGATTATTAAATGATATAATGCATGCACAGCCCTAGCACTGAGTAAGCACACACTCGAGGTAAGCTACTGTTAGTAGAACCCTGCTTTTCAGTGGCCAATGGGAAGGCCTGTAATTACAGTCTTTTGTCTTTATGTAATGTTGTTTGGGTAGTTATCTTTTTAAAAAAAAAAGATCCCTGAGCAAATCACACTGTCACGTGTGTACCTATGCAACAATCTTGCATGTTCTTCACATGTACCCCAAAACCTAAAATGCAATAAAATAAATGGGGGCGAAAAAACATGCTATAAACTTAAATAAGCACATTGTTTTACATAGTTTAATCTGCAACAATAAATTTACAATATAAGAAAAAAAGACCCCTGACATTATCAATTTTTATAACTAAATTTCATACTTCTTATTTAAAATGGCTTTTAGCAAACCCAGTAGACACCCTAACCCACCACACAAACATCTGGGTATAGGCCATTCCTGAAGCATTTAAAATATATTTCTCTGATTTCCATTTTATCTTTTACATATCAACAGAGGAAATATATCTAACATCTCTGCTTAGTTTTATTTATATAACACTAAGATAATAAACCGTATTTTAAAAAATTACATTAAGATCATTCAAATCTTTTATATTACACTTTCACTGTAATGAATACATTGTTGAATATTTCTAGTCTACACGGAAACATTTAATTTGTAGCTTAAGTCTCTCTCTGCAGTAGGCAATAAATTTTAAAGTCAGAAAAATGCCTAAACATAGAAAAGAGGCAAATATCAAACAGAAAGTCACCAAATATTCACAGAGAAACTATTAATGTGCAGCACTGCACCAGTTAGAAACTGTGGAATGCTAAGAAAGATATTATTCCCTAGTGAAGGGACTTGGAATTTGAAGAGTCAAGCTTCATAAACTGGAAAAAGTGAAATAGCCACTCTAACTCTTATAATTCCCCAGATTTTACATGTGCTTACATGTACATGTGCTCACATAATATACACCATGACCAATATACCTTTTTATTATAAACTATTTAGATCTCTACTTTTATTGCCAGAATATACCCTAGAATTTCTTAATGGAGTAATTTTTTCAAAAGAAGTTTTAAAAATTAATTTATAAAAGTTATATTGTCTAAAAGTAGGGAAAAAAGCTGTTTGGAAACTAAATATTTGGCTCACTCTCTAGGTAAGTGATTTACTCCTAGTCTGTGGCATTCAGAACTCATGTTTTTGCAAAAGTGTGCTTACTGTATTATGACTCTTTCGGCATCTTTTACAAATATTCAAGACTACAAGTTACTAAGTATAGGCTAGCAGTCTCTAAATTTGATACATATCCTTTGTCAGTATACTTTTAAGAACACACCCAAATATGTATTTACTAATTTATAAAAGATATAGATACCATTGTATAATTTTTATATTATATACAGATAAAAATAGAAATGTAAAAGGTAAAATATAAATAGAAGTTTTAATACATATTTTTAACCATTATTGTGCATCTTTAATTGGAATGTAATTGCTCTTGGAATACAGAAAAGGGGAAGATCAGTATGGGCTAGTGTTTAGAAAGTCAACAAGTAGTAGGTGAGAGTTGAAATATGTCTTGACATTTAGATGGGTGAGGAAGAAGAGGAGTTGGAAATGCCCCTTTATGGAAGTGGTCCTCTCTAAGGAGGCAACAAGGCAGTTATGTAAAGAGAAATAGTAAGAGCTAAGGAAAATGGATATCTTTATCCATTCCCGCCTCAAGAGAAATGTATTTTGATTTGGAAATTTATAGGGTGTTTTTCCTCTGGAATAGTGCCAGAGTATCTGTGGTGAAGAGAGTTAAATGCTGTTTATAATAATCCAATTTTCTTAAATAACCAGTATGAAATGGAAGGGCAAATGGACATTTTTAATACAATGCTGGTGAGAATTAAAATAGAAATCTTCCTGAAATGACTTTGAGAATACAAATCAAAACCCTCAAATGAGAACATCCTTGGGATTTTTGTCCAAAGGAAAGAATCGTCAATATGTACAGAGATCTAGCTACAGGGAGGATTTATCACAGGTTGTTTCTAATAGAAAAATATTGGAAACAATACATTAAAAAAAAACAAACAGAATACTGGTTAAAAAAACAAAAGGACAATCCATACATGGAAGAATGATGGAGCCACTAGAAAAGATATAGAATATTTAATGGCCTGGTGAGTTGTTTAGTGGACATTATTTTTGCCTATTCAGACCTCCTTCTTACAGTAATAAAACCCATCTCTACTTTTTGAGAAACCACATATTCCCCTACTTCAGTCCAAATGGTCAGAGGTGTAGAAGCCAATAAGGCCTGGCCAATAAGAGTTTCCTATCTCCTGGCAATAACAATTGGTTCAGGTGGGCACATGACCCAAACAAGACCAATCAGAGTCAATTTCATGATGTTTGAACACACTCTTGGAAAAATATCACTTTCTTTCCATTGAGTTTGCTAAGCTGACAAAAAGTAAAACTTGGAGCAGTTAATGGCCTTTTCACTACCACACTGAAAGACTGCCTTAGATAATGCCATCAAAAAGGAAAACAGAATTTAGAAATGGAGAAAAACAGATTATTGGTGTTATTTGATCATTTAGGTCCAGCCGTGTCTAAAACTAGACTGTATTTTTGGACTTATTATTTATGTGAACCAAAAATCTCTAGTTTTTGCTTAAATCAGTTTGATTTGGGCTTCTGTCATTTGTAACCGAGAGTCCTAACTTAAAAAATTATATTAGGGCAAAAAAAGCAGGCTACAAAACAGTATGACCAATAAGACTGAGATTTTTATTTTAAAAATGTATTATACATGTATAGAAAATATACCAGAAGGGCATTTCCCCAAATTAACAGTATTTTGAGGTGGCTGGGTTTTTTGGTGATTTTTACTTTTTTCCATTTTCACTTATCTCTATTTTCTGATGGCTCTATGGCACGAAAAAAATATATACATATATATAAAATGTAATAGGGAAAATTTCACTTAAAAATGATATCCAAAGAAGTCTGAAGGGCTCTATTCAGCTGAATTCAGTTCCTGCACTCTGTTGATTATAACCCCAGGTCCATTCTTATATCTACCACAATAAATGACTTTTAGCTGGAGACATGGCTATCCAGGTTGAGACTCTATCTCTGAGCCTCCTTTGTAACTAATTGTGGCTCTGTGACCAATGAATATATGCAGAGCTGATACATGCAACTTGTGTCACTTGCTTAATGTCTTCCCTTTCCTCTCTTCAGTCCATCCTACAGGTTGGAACGCTGAGGGACAGCTGAGTAAGATTCAATCATGCAGAAAGGATAACATCCTACAGAATGGAGAAACAATATGACAGGAATCTGGGTCTCTGAATCATGAAGCAGAGCTATCTATCTGCCCTGGGCCACTTGCCCACCTGTGAGGTAATAGAGAAATAAACTTTAATCTAATTTAAGCCACTGTGTTTCTGAATCTCTTTGTTATATCATTTTAGCCTATGCCTTACTAATATACTTGCCAAAGTTAAATGAGCAAATTATGTAGTTATGTAGTTATCTGTAAGGGGTGTGTATGTGCACATGCCATTGTTTTCATGCCTAATATATCTGATTCTAAACACGTAAAACCTTACTCTTTTGTTCCAAGTGAAATACAGGTAAAATAAAATATGAGCAATAAATGGCATAAAAACAGGTTTTCTGCTTAAAGAATTTGGAGTTTAAAAGGTCAGTTGTATAACTATAGGACCTATCCTTTTCATATGCCAATTCTTCAGCTTTCCCAGCAGTTCTGGGAACTATTATGATTCAATAATTTCCTATTTCTGTTTAAATCATCCAGTCAACTTCAGTTGCTTAAAATTAAGAACTTTGATGGATACAGCATACAGATAGCCTTCAGAGGGTTCATGAACTCCCTAAACCCTATATATTACACACACACACACACACACACACACACAGAGTTTTCTGGGGAGAGGTTACATAACTTATGTCACATTCTCAATGGAGTCCATAAGATGTGGGCATATATGTGAGAGGGGAGACAATGCAATATTATCCTTTCTAGATACAAGATCATTATATAAACTTTTTTGCCACCTTTGGAAACATATTAGAGGATTTTAATTTAAAACTGAACCAGAATTAGTAGCCCAGATCAAACAATAGATGCAGAGACAACATAAAGATCAAGAAAAAGGAGAATGCCCAAGAGGAATGATGATATTATGCAGATAACCTCTTGTTGGGAGAGGAGGAGGACCTATGCCTTCAGGATGAGTTGAAGAGTAGCAAATCAGCTGACCAAGGAATAGAAGAGTTTGCGATATTTGCAGTTGAAAGACAGAGAGGCAAACAGCCAGTAAGATGGGTGAGAAGACTGTGGATAAAGTTATGGGGCTGGGTGTGGTGGCTGACACTTACAATCCCAGCACTTTGAAAGGCTAAGGTGGGCAGATCCTTTGAGCTCAGGAATTCGAGACCAGCCTGGCCAACACAGTGAAACCCCATCTCTTCTAAAAATACAGAAAAATTAGCTGGGCATGGTAATATGCGCCTGTAATCCCAGCTACTAAGGAGGCTGAGGCAGGAGAATTGATTGAAACCAGGAGGCAGAGATTGCAGTGAGCCGAGACCTCGCCTCTGCATTCCAGTCTAGCCTGGATGAGACTCCATCACACCAAAAAAATAAAAAATAAAAATAAAAATAAATTTTAAAGTAAAACAAAAAGAGTTCTGGGTGAGTTAAGAGATTATTCCTGTAACCTAGCAAAGTTTGGCATTCTCAAGAACTAAGAGAAGAGAATTAACTGAAGAAAGAAGGTGAAACTGGTTATAATGAATAATTAGCTATGTTCTACAGTTGAACTGTGATTAAATGAATGTCATAGAGGAATGCAGCCAATACGTTAATAGCACAGTGTTCTTTAAGAGCATGAAATCTACAACATTGTTTGAGTTCAAAAATGCAACTATTTCCAAGTGATCAAGGTCAATACCAACAGTGATAAGTCAGATTAATGGTGTGTATCTTTGATATAATGTGATAAAAATGGCACTTTATCTCTGTGGTATTCCTCCCTGAAGCCCATAACCTCAGTCTAATTATGGGGAAACAAACCTCAACTGCGTAAGGCATTCTACAAAAACCTGATTAGTACTCCCAAAACTGCCAAGGTCATCAGAAGCAAGTAAAATCTAAGAAACTGTCATAGCCAAGAGGAGGTTAAGGAGACATAATGATTTAATGTAATGTGATATCTTAGATAGGATCCTGGAACAGAAAAAGGGCATTAGGTAAGAAACTAAAGAAATGTGAATAAAATAGAGTTTTGTTAACAATAATGTAACACCACTTGTTCATTACTAGTAACCCACGCACCATATTAACGTAAGATACAAGTAACAGTGGAACCCGGCTGGAGGGTATATAGAAACTTACTGTACCATCTTTGTAATTTTCCTGTAAATGTAAAATGGTTCTTAAAAAATAAAGTTTCTTTTTAAAAAATGCAGCTATTTTACTTACTAACCTTGAGCAAGTTTTTTAGCCTTTCTGTGCCTCACTTGACTCACCTATAAAATTAGAATTAGGTTAGGTTGATAATAGTAGCAACCTGTCTCAAGAATTTGTTGTGACGACTAAATGAGTTAATATAGTAAAGTGCTTAGAACAGTGCCTCACAGTTAGGAAGCACCAGTTTACTATCAGCAATGATTATTTTTTAACACAGATGCTCTTCAACTTATGATGGGGTTATATCTGGATAAACTCATCAAAAATTGAAAATATATTTTTTCAACATATTGTGGATTTATTGGGATGTACCTCGTTGCAAGTCACAGAATGTACTGAATACATGTTGCTTTATCAACATCATAAAGTTGAAAACTTTTAAGTCAGGAAGCATCTGTACTTGTAAAGTGCAGTAAAATTGTATGCAAAAGGAGTAAAAAATAGCCTGATGATATTAAGCTCTAACTTTATAAATGAAATTTGAAATAAAATTCTTCCAGTTGAAAATATGTCAAAAATGACATAATGTCAAGGCCAATAAATCAAGGGACGTATAAACCATATTTACACTATGGTTACACAGTGGGCCACCATATAGGTTTTGCTAACCCTGGTATGAATTCATCCTCAATTAAGGACTTAGGATCCTATTGCTCACATAAAAGGTGACAACTCTGTTACTTAAGATCTAAAATTCCTCATATTATAAGAAGACTAAGTTTGTATTTTAATACCAAAGTAATGATTTGGATGACTCTCATAGAGAAAAGGTAGCTAGGCTACAGAGGCAAGATCAAAGTTCAAAGGCAAGAAACTTTTAAATCACTTAGGTGAATGGTAATAGAAATTACCAGAAGTCTAAGACTCAGGCAGACATTTTTCCTTGTTAGAATACAATTGATAAAACATGATCAGCATATGCTGCCTCTTAATTCCTGCTTTAAACTGTCCAGATCCACCATGGCTAATGAGATTCTGAGTATGTAAAACCACTTAGCTGTCTTCCCCTTTTCCTAATAACTCAAAATTTCAGTTTAAGTTCTAAAATCTATGTAAATATTATGATGCTTAAAACAAATAATTAGTATATCATATGTATTTCCTAATTAAGTCTTTAATATTTTAAGATATCAATCTGTAGTATGCTCAAAATGTTTACTATATATTTCATTATTTGCAAATATTATATAAGAAAAAGAATTATTCTAAAGTTACATAAAAAAAATTGATGAGGCCAGGCATGGTGGCTTGTGCCTGTAATCCCAGCACTTTGGGAGGCTGAGGTGGCCAGAATAAGGTCAGGAGTTCAAGACTAGCCTGGCCAACATGGTAAAACTCCGTCTCTACTAAAAATACAAAAATTAGCCGGTCGTGGTGGTATATACCTGTGGTCCCAGCTACTTGGGAGGCTAAGGTAGGAGTATGGCTTGAACCTGGGAGGCAGAGGCTGCAGTGAGCCGAGACTGTGCCATTGCACTCCAGCCTGGGCGACAGAGCGAGACGCTATCTCAAAAAAAAAAAAGTTGATGAATGTCAGTGTGACATTAACAGTGATAGGCTTTGACTTGTTTATAGTAGATGGACAACTACTTAGAGAAGTCTGACTGCTCACTTAATAAAAAAGCTGAGGGCAAATAAATGTATCTTTATGATAAACGTCAAAGACTCAGAGCCAGGGGGGGCTGAAGGAAGATGTAAGAATTAAATCTATTTAATCTAGGAAAAAAATGGAGAAAAAGAATATACACACAAAGGACATTTCTAAAATCTTGAATTTTTTTTCCTTATTTGTAATAAGATTGAAATTTCAAACCATCTGAAATATTAAATTGCTTTGACATATTTCTCCTCATATCTAAAAATCAAAAACATTTTCTTGCAGTACATTTTATTTTTGAAATTTTATTTTTGGAACAGTTTGGTTACTGAAGGTGTAAACTGTCTACATCCATCTTACTTTGATGAGTCTTCTTGAGTAGCATTTTTTTAAACAATTTCATTTATTTTACATTTTTTAAATATCATTTTATTTTTATATCTCCTGTAAATTAAAAATGTCAATTTAAAATTCTTGAAGAATGCACACAGCAATCTCTCAGTCAAAAAAGGACAATATTTTTCTTTCATAGTGAATATCCTACCAAAATATTTCTGTATGCATACTCAAGAATAGCTTAATTTTATTTAAATAATAATTAGCCATGCAAACTACCTTTGTTGTAAGGAATTATAGTAACCAGTGTGTGTGTAATTTTTCCAAGATTATACACGTATAAAAATTTTATATTCACATTATAATTTCTCCTGTAGCAGATACATGTTAAGAGTTCTATATGTGAATTTACTTATGTTGGTAAATGAATGTTTTATTTTTTCTAATTTTGTTAAAATATTATTGATATATTTACTTTCAAATGAACCATTTACTCTTTGGTTCTCCACAAAAATAATGAATCTTTTACTATATAAGTTGTTCTCTTTATGGCAACAAGTCTTCAAAGAAAATATAAAACAATGAAACCATATTAGCTCAATTGATCTCCAAATTAAATTATTAGTGGCTTCTATTTCCTTAAGATAATGCCAAGTCGTGAACTAATTTTAAAAAATTTAAATTGAATACACTATTTACCTACATACAGATATTCCCCTCTCTCCATTAAGCAAATGATGGCAGACAACCAGACTATATATTTTTTATCATTCCAATTCCAAGTTCTTAAGGTTATAAGACAAAAAGGTGGTAAATATCCTCAAGTAAGAGATACTTAAATATATAAATTCATTTTGTCTCAATCCATATGTGCCTACATCTTTAATAACCAACTTACAAATCAGAAGTGTTATCAAAAGCTGCACAGAAATTTTAAAAGAAAAATATAGTAATCAAATTAGACAAATGATAAGCTATTTTTGCCTTTAAATACTTAAAACAAT